GTTTCTCCTTGGGTTTCTCCTGTATGGGACTTGCTGCATTTCCTGGACTTGGGTGGCTATTTCCTTTCCCACGTTAGGGAAGTTTTCAACTGTAATCTCCTCAAATATTTTCTTGGGTCCTTTCTCTGTCTCTTCTCCTTCTGGGATCCCTATAATGCGAATGTTGTTGCGTTTAATGTTGTCCCAGAGGTCTCTTAGGCTGTCTTCATTTCTTTTCATTCTTTTTTCTTTATTCTGTTCCGCAGCAGTGAATTCTACCTTTCTGTCTTCCAGGTCACTTATCCGTTCTTCTGCCTCAGTTATTCTGCTATTGATTCCTTCTAGTGTAGTTTTCATTTCAGTTATTGTATTGTTCATCTCTGTTTCTCCTTTAATTCTTCTAGGTCTTTGTCAAACGTTTCTTGCATCTTCTTGATCTTTGCCTTCATTCTTTTTCTGAGGTCCTGGATCATCTTCACTATCATTATTCTGATTTCTTTTTCTGGCAGGTTGCCTATCTCCACTTCATTTAGTTGTTTTTCTGGGGTTTTATCTTGTTCCTTCATCTGGTACATAGCCCTCTGCCTTTTCATCTCGTCTATCTTTCTGTGAATGTGGTTTTTGTTCCACAGGCTGCAGGATTGTAGTTCTTCTTGCTTCTGCTGTCTGCCCTCTCACCTTTGTTTTTTTGTTTTTTGTTTTCCGGTACGCGGGCCTCTCACTGTTGTGGCCTCTCCCGTTGCGGAGCATAGGCTCCGGACGTGCAGGCTCAGTGGCCATGGCTCACGGGCCCAGCCGCTCCTTGGCATGTGGCATCTTCCCGGACCGGGGCATGAACCCATGTCCCCTGCATCGGCAGGCGGACTCTGAACCACTGCGCCACCAGGGAAGCCCCACCTTTGTTTTTTTACTCTAGTTTGTCAGTCTTTTTCTTTGGTGATAAATTGATGAGTTTAGACTATATTAATCATAATTATTTTGCAATATTTTTAAATGTTTATTTTCTCCTTTTTTTCTTATTTCACTTTTTTCATTAATTTAGAATTAGTTCACTTTATTGTTATTATTTTAGTGGTTGCTCTTGAAATTTACCATGTGTATTTAACTTAACAAGTCTAAATTCAAAGTCTTAACCTTTCTCCTGAACAAAATCTCCAACTATTATTTTTGAATTATTTCTCCTTTCAATTCTGTCACTGTTTGCTTTACATATTTTGAGGCTTTGTTGTTAGGCACATGTATATTTGTCATTGTTGTCTCTTCCTGATGTACTCACCTGTTTATCATTATAACCTCTCCCTCTTTGTCTTTAGTAATTTTTCTCATCTTGAAGTTTGTTTTGTCTGATATTCATCTATGGTTATTATTATCGTTACTATTTATGTGATATATCTTTCTCCAATCTTTCACTGTCAACCTATTTGTGTCTTTGAATCTGTTGTCCACAGTATATAGCTGGATCTTGCTTTTTTAATTCAGTTTGACAATCTCTGCCTTTTATTGCAGTGTTTAGGTTAAGAGTTAGCAAATTATGGTCTGTGGGCCAAATCTGGCGTGCCACCTTTTTTGGGGAATGGGGGTTAACAGCTTTATTGAGATATATTGACATACCATACAATTCACTCATTTAAATGTACAATTCGGTGGCGTTTAGTAGAGTCATAGTTGTGCAACACCAGCACAATCAGTTTTAGAATCTTTTCGTCACCCACTGTACTCTTTGGGCATTACCCCACCTGTCTCCCCATTCTCCCCTCCTCATCCCAAGACAACCACTAATCTACTTTGTCTTGATAGATCTGCCTACATTTCATACACATGATATCATGTAATATATGGTCTTCTTAATGGGCTTCTTTCACGTCGAATAATGTTTTCAAGGTTTATCCACTTTGTAGTATGTGTTGTACCTCATTCCTTTTTGTTGCCCAGTAATATTCTATTGTATCACTTTTTCCACTCATTTGTTGATGGATATTTGGATTGTTTCTACTTTTTGGCTATGAACTTTATTAGTGTACAAGATTTTATGTGGACGTGTTTCCATTTCTCTTGGGTATATACCTATGAAAGGAATTGCTAGGTGATATGATAACTCTGGTTTAACTTTGGGGAGAACTGGCAGACTGTATTCCAAAGTGGTTGCACCATTTTATATTCCCACCAACAGTGTATGAGGGCTCCAGTTTCTCCACGTTCACACCAGTACTTGTTATTATCTGTCTTTTGATTGTAACCATCCTAGTGGGTATGAAATGCTATCTCATTGTGGTTTTGCTTTGCATTTCTTTGATAGCTAATGATGTTGAAAAAAATCTGAGTCCTTTGCCCAGTTTTTAATTGGGTTGACTTTTTACTGTTGAGTTGTTGGAGTTCTTTATATTTTCTAGATAGAAGGCCCTTATCATATGTATGATTTGCTAATATTTTTCCCCATTCTTTGGGTTGTCTTTTCACTTTCTTGATGGTGTCCTTTGTGCGCAAAAGTTTAAAATTTTGATGAAGTCCCACTGACCTATTTTTTCTTTGGTTGCTTGTGCTTTTGGTGTCATATCAATGAAACCAATGCCAAATCCAAGGTTGCACCCCATATTGATTGAGTTCTCTTCAACCATGGCAGTAAAGCTGTTCATCCTCCACCTATCCCACCCTGCACATCCACATGGACCAAGGCAGTAGGGGGTGGGGGAGGGATGGGAGCAGGCAAGCACAAGTGCCTCACCAATTATTTTACGTCTTTGGTCAGTATCCAAGTACTGAAATGGCTGTTTGGCCATTTTTATGCAGCTTTGTAGCTGCTGTGTGGAGAGAGTGTTTAACCACCACCTGCCTCACTCATAGTCAAACCCTGCTTCCATTACCTCTTCCTTTGAACATTGCTTTCAAATTTTCACTCCTTGTCTCATTCTACTTCTAGTTTACTAATTCTCTCTCTAGATTTTTATTCAGGTTTAATCTGCTGTTTAACTTACACATTGCATTTTATTTCATATATGCTATTTATCATCTCTAGTAGTACAGAATTCTTTTTTTTTTTTCCCTGCAAAATCTTCCTGTTTATTCCTAATGGTCCTTTTGTTGCATGCTCATCCTTTATCTCTTCAAATATACTATATGTAGCTCTGCTGTGTTCTTTCCCTGACACTTCCAGTATCTGCTATGTGTTGCATCTGCTGACTCCTGCTCTCAGTGTCCTGCCCTCTCGTGTGTTTTAGGATCTTTGTGTATGAGCTCAGTGTGGGGGAGCTCTGTACACCTCTGTAGGGGAAAACTTCTTACAGCGAGGACTCGCTTTTACTTCTGCCAGTAGCCAGAGGGCACCAACCACCGGAGACCACTTTCGCCCTCCAGAAGAAGGTGGTGCAAGGCTCTCGCTGCTGTCTGGCTACCGAGCTCTGGGCCTGTGATGAGCCAGAGGAGCAGAACATGGGTCACCTGCTCCTCATCACTGGCCCCAGGCTCTGTAGCCACAAAGTCGTGCTGCCCTCTCACTTCCTTTCTGGCCCCAGTTCCTCCCTTTTTTGTGGGCTTCTCCTACCTCTTTTATGTCCAACAGTGCCTTAAAATTTTATTCTAAGCAGGATATAATTGCTCTCTAGTGGGAGGGCCCCACAGAGCACCTGATCAGCCACACTACGAGAAGCAGGAGTCAAAGTTAACATTTACTGAGCTTTGACTATATGGCAGACGCTAAGCACCTCACGTGGATTAAGTCACTCAAACCTCAGAACAGCCCTACAGGATGTGTATTCTTATTATCCATGTTTTATGGATGAGGACATGAGGGCACAGAAAGGTTAAATTACCAACCGAGTTCTCACACAACTGGCAAGTAATAAAGCAGGAAGTCTGCTGTCTGGCTATAGGATCCATGCTCTCGGCCACTGCGACCCACAGTCAGGGGATTTTGTTTGTATCTATGTGTGATATTGTGTGTGCAAGTCAATTTCAGCATGTGTGCATGTGCCAGAGTAGCTGTTCCTGTGTCCGTGGATATGAATGTCACTTGTGTGACTGCCTTTAGATGCTCACTGTGATGTCACCTTCTCAGTATGGCCTTCTCAGGACCATCTCATTTAAAATCATACATTCCCCTGCTTATTCTTCCTCTGTACTACTAATAAATCTCTAACACACTACATAGTTTACTCCTTTTGTTTATGTCTGCTTCCCCAGTAGAACATGAGCTCATTCTGGCTGCTGTGGGGAGAGCACACCATAAGCAGGGTGGGTACAGCCCAAGCCCAGGTTGGAGGCTGCTGTGACAGTCCTAGTGAAGATGGTGTGACTCAATCTAGAGTGCTTAGTGGTGGATGTGGGGATGAGTGGCTGGATTCAGGATGTGTTTAGAGCAGACAGGACTTACTGATGGTTTGCATGTGCAGCATACAGGAATAAAGGCGTCAAGGAGAACTCCTCACTTTGTCGTCTGAGTGAGTGGGCGAGATGGGGAGCAGTGGGAAAGGGGCAGATTCTGAGGGCAAGGAGGTTGGGAAGCAAGAGTAAGAGTTTAGTTCTGGCTATGGTAAGTGTGTGATGCTAAGCTAAGTGGAAATATTGAGAGGGCTGTCGGGTATGAGTCTGGAGTTCAGAGAAGAGGAAGGGGCTAGAGATGAAAATTTAGGAGTTGTTGGCTTATTGATGATAATGAAACCCGTAAGACTGGGTGAGATCTGTTAGGGAGTAGATGTGATAGAGAAGACAGAGAAGGGAGTGTGGACTGGAAGGGGGAAGGATGTTGCCTTGGTCCAGGAAGAAGAGTCTGAACCAGCCATGGGCACTAAGCCGGGTACAAGTCTTTGAAAAGCATGGATTAAAAACTGGCAGGATTTGGAGCCATCTCCCCACGAAGCCTCCCCTGACAACTCTTTGGGGTGCTTCCATGGTCAGTGTCCCCAGAGCTCCCAGGAGGCAGGGTCAAATATAATTCATCTCCTGTCACTAGTCCCCTGTGCACAGCACAGTGACTCTTAGATGAATGGATGAGTGAACAAATGCCCCACTCCCCTCTCCCCTCCCAGCTCCTATTAAGGAACCCAAAAAGATGATGCCCAGAACAGCCCTCCCTATGGTCAAGAAGCTGGTGACAGCCCCGACTGGGCCAAGCAAAGCCAAGTAAGGGGCAGGGTGGCGGAGGGGGAAAGAGGAGGGTACAGAAGAAATGCTGCTCCCTGCCCCCATCCCCAGTTCTGATGGGGACATGTTTCAGGCCATCTTGGACACCCAGCGGAGACAGTCAGAAGTGCCCTTCCCGAAACTGCAGTAAGTGTTGATGCCTCCCTGCAGTGGGGTGAGGCCTGGGGTGTTGTGCTGAGGGACAGAGATGGGGAGAGGCTTGGGGTCCAAGTAGGCCCGGGCCCCAAGTAGGCCCGGGCCCCTGAGGGTCTGCTCTCACAGGCTCCAGCAGCAGTTTCCTCAGTGGGTGTCCAGGCCAGAGTGGCAGAAAGCGAGCCCAAACCCAGGCTTCACAGCAACGCTCTGCAGCCGGTCAGGTGAGAGGCCCAAGACATGGGAGAGTGGGGATCTTGGGCAGAGTCTGGTTCTCAGGGGTGTGGTGTGAAGGATCCCAGGCCAAGGGGGACCAGACTCAAACTGTCAAGGTACCCAGTCCTCGGCTGAGACCTCACCCCCATCCCCACAGGGCAAAGAGCAGAGCAGCCTTACAAAGGCCCCTCATGTGAATCAAACCCCAACTCTGGACAAGACCCCCAGCCTAGAGAAGACCCCATCTCCGGATAAGGCTGGCAGCCCAGAGAAGACCTCATCTCTGGACAATGCCCGCAGCCCAGAGAAGACCTTGTCTCCAGATAAGGCCCCCACTCCAGAGGAATCCCTAACTCCAGATAAGGTCCCTATCCTAGAGGAGACCCCAACTCTGGAGGACAAAGCCCCCAGACCAGACAGGGTCTTTTCTGTGCATGAGGCCCCGGTCCCAGAAGTCCCACCTGGTCCAAAGATGGCCCTTCCTAGGGACGAGGCCCACACCCTAGGAGAGGTCTTGACCACCAAACAGGTGCTCTCTGAAGAGGCCTCCACCGGAGACAACACTCAGTTCCATCACTTCTCTCCGGAGGAAGCCCTGCTAAACGCCAGGTCTCTTGAGGCTCAATCCCAGGAGGAGGTTCACATGCCAGGGGAGCAGCCCCTCTGCACGGTGAAGCGTCCCCTGGATAAGACGGACGGCTCCCCTCTCCAGTCCGAGCCCAAGTCCAAGTCAGGGTCTATGCCTGCCCTCGAGAAGGCCTACCTCCAGCAAGAGGCTACCACTCTCCTGGAGGAGGCACCAGCGAAGGATGAGGCTACCCCCAAAGAGGAGGTGTCCCCCGGAGAGGTATCCCCTGCTCAGAAGAATCCACATCCTATCGTGCTGACTCCAGAGCCCCAAATGACTCCCACCCTCCACCCCTTGGCCCCGCAAAATCTCACAGATAGCAAAAGTGACAGAGACGGCATGGTGAGGATAAAGGACGAGGTGGAGGCTTTAAGGAGGTCGCTGGAGCTGATGGGGGTGCAGCTGGAGTAAGCGGGGAGGGGTGCGGGGAGGGGAGGAGAGGGGTGCGGGCTCTGGGCTTGCCCGGCCCACCCCTTCCCCTCGGTCTCGCGTCCGCAGAAAGAAGCTGACTGACATCTGGGAGGAGCTGAAGAGCGAGAGAGAGAAGCACGTGTTGCTGGAGGTGGGCGGGGTGCGGGTCCCCGGCGGGGCGGGGGTGGGCGGCTGGCACTCCCCTGACGCCCTCTCTCCACTAGGTTCAGATGACGCGGACGACCCAGGAGTCCCGGAACCTGGGCTCCTTCCACGCGCAGACGCAGACGCACTGAGGGTGGGCCCGGGAGGGACTACGGCGGGACCTGGAGCGAAGTCGGGCTCCGGCCACCCACGTCCTTGCGCACGATTTTGGGAAACGCAAGAAAGTAAACTCTGCCGTGTACGCGCGCCACGCCTCCCTGGTCCCTGCAGGGCGGGGTCTGCGCGGCGGGGCGGGGCTGGCGTTCCGCGCTCCCGTCCCTCTGCTTTCCTGGCAGCCGCTCCTGGGCACATCTGGCCAACATGTGGCTTCCATTACCGTTCCCAAGGCCTGCGCATGGCTATTTTTATCCACCGGATGGCGAGGGGGGAGGGTGTCTCCTTCGGACGCTAGTCCCCGCGCTGGAGAAATGGCCGGCAGGAGGGGCCCAGGAGGGGTCGGGCCTCTGCCCGGGGGCCGGATTCCAGAATCCAGCTGTGCGCCAGGGGAGGGGCCGGGCGGGCCGGCTCGCCAGCCCGGAACCCTCCCAGTTGCCTTCACAGTCCGCTCTGGAACGCAGTGACACACGAACTCCACAGGCCAGCTCAGGCACCCCAGGTTACATTGGGGCTAATAGCGCCTTAGCGTCAAGGTTAGGGTTCCGAGGCCTTGTGTGCGTGCGCGCGCTTGTGTGTGTGATTGCAATGATGCATAAACCTGGGGCATTTGTAGGGACGGGGGCAACGTGTACCCGGGCGTTTGCCGGTAAGGAATGCATTTGTAAGGAATGCGGTTGATTTTTGTGTGTGCGTCTGTGGTGAGGTGGTGGAGTGTGGGTGCAGGAGTGTGTTTTTGCCATGTGTGAATTGAACGCAAGCATGTGTGCTGAGGCGTCGGGTGGGTGGAAGGAGGTGGTCAGCCTGGTAAAGGGGTCTCAGCCCTGGGGCCCCCTGCATGGCAAGAGCCTGGGAGTCATTAGGGGGAAGGATAACAGAGGGAGACTGAGTCACTGAGAATGCAGCTTTCATTGGTCACGTCACCTCTTAACCGTCCCCCAGAGAGGGGATGGGGACCCTGCGTCCTGCCCTACTCCCAGGGCCTTCTGGCTGGACGGGGGGGGG